TTGGCAATACATAGTTGAGACTTGAATTTTTAAAAAATAAAACCTGAAGTAGTCATAGACTTAAGGAATTAAAGAGATAAATACTGTGAATCTTTCCTATTGAAAGCATTTTCTACTTAATTCCATCATTTATACTATGAATCCTGAAACCCAAATATTCCTGTTTAGAAAGGCTAGTTCAGCGGTTTATTTCATTCATTTACTCATTCTTTTAGTCATCTCTGTATTAATTCAGTTTTTAAAGCCAGTTGCTTGGTATGTACTATGTTCCAGACACTGGGGTGCAAAAATGAACAGGAAAATCTCCCAGCCTGCCAGGAACTCACCTGTAGTGAATATTCATTATAAGCCATAGGAACTCCTTTTCTCTTTAATCAAGTGCTGAGCCAGATCCTCTGTTACGTCTCAGCAGAAGATCATGGCCATTATTGCTTCACGGTATGTGTCAGTGCCTGGCACACTTTTGTAAAGGTGGGAGACAATATTCTTCTTTAGCTTTAGCAGATTCGGCATCTTTCCTCCCATTTCAGCCTTTTGCAGTTTCAAATGGTGCAGATAGAGAGCCCCGAAAATGTATACTTGTACATTTTTAAATGTCCCCTACTATGCTATAACCACCCCCTGTTTTCCAAATGCTGCCATTAGCGGTTACAGTAATCATCTGTAATGTTAGCTTCTCAGAACCATGGTACAAGAGCTTCTTTTCTAATTTCCCAGATGGGAGGGAACACATGTACATGCTTGTTAGAGTTGCAGAAACTAGAAACAGCACTGCGTGGATTTGTATTTTTGGAACTCTATGGGCTTGTTTAAGCACTCAAAATCAAACTTAGATATCCATTAGGAATCAAATACCATTTCAGGGAAATCTCATGTGCCACACCAAGAGGAAGAAAAGTTATAAAATGAACTTCTGGAAATAACTAGTTTCATATTCAGACTAATGTTTTATGTACTTTTTTCAGGATGCCAGATGATAAATGTTGATTATATAAACCAGGGTCATTCCATTTCTTTGGAGGATTGTCTCTAAGCATTCCTGCTCTTTATTGAAATAGTAGTGAAATAGAAAGTTTAAAAGTTGGAAATAATTATAAATTTTCCATAGGCATACAGAATAAAGCCCTCAGGTATAAAGGATTTTGGTGGCCCCTGGTTTTTTGCAGGGTATTTTTGCAAGGTTATGTGATTTGTGATCATAGTCTCTAGCCTTGACCTTACATAAGAAAACTTAGTCATTGGGGAAAGGTTTCTGAAAGTAAATGTTATTTCTTTTTCAATTGTCTTTTTTAAGGTGACCAATCTAACTCTAAATAGGACTCTTCTACACTTAGATCACAAAATGAATTTGTTTCTATGAATGTTTCTTCAAGCTCAGCTTTAACCTTAGTTTTAGATGTTGTATGAGTTTTAAAGTCATATTATATACTCAACAGTAGCTTCTGTTTGTTGCAGACTCTGAGTATTTTTTACAACTTTCATTCTCATTTTACAGAAAGGAAAGTTCAAGGTTGAATACTTTATCATCTGTTAAAGAACAAGAAGTGATCAATAAGCTCAGGCTGCTGACCTGGGCTCTCCTTTTGAAGCTACTAGTTCTGGAGGAGTTGGTGTATTAACAAGGCCAGGAGCCAGGAGCCAGGAGCTAGCATTTAGTTTCCAGACATCATTGGTGACAAAACATTTTGTAAAGCAGGTTCCTGAAAAATCTCTAGATGTAGAGAATAAGAGTTAGGAATGAACACTCATTCGTTCACTGATGTATTTATTCATCTAACATTGATTGAGTGGTTTGCATATGCCAGGTGCTGTGCTAAGATCCTGCTCTTACTCGTCCCCCTCCTCACCCAGTTAGAAACAGAACAAGACAAAGAAAGCTCTACCTCTTATGTCATGCCACCTAAAAATATATTCCAGAGGTATTACAAATCTACAATGTAAAAACAAAATTGTAACAATATAAGGTGAAAAACCGGAGAAATAGTTATGAAACCTCAGAGTTATTGACAGGATTTAACTGCAAAAATCTAAATTTTCTGTGATGTCAGAGGAGCCCTCAGATGAAGTAAAAAGTCAAAAAGAGAAAATAATTTTAGCATATGCGACAGAAAAGGGTTAAGAACCCTAATAAACAACAACAGCAACAAAGACTAAGAACCTTAAAACAATGTGGATAATAGATTTGATCAGGAAGTTTACAAAAGAAATGTAGATGACCAGTAATAAGTAAAAGTTGCTTAGCCTCATTCATTGAATCTAAATGGAGATACCCTTTTCCAGATTTTAAAAAGAGGGACAATAGCCAGTGTTATCCAGTGATTCAGGATGAGGGAAAGTAGGCTTATACTCATACAAACTCATGGGTCCAAATGTGAGTTGTTGCAAAATTCTTAGAAAATAATCTGTCAAATTCTATTGAAATGTAAAATGTTCATAACCTTGGAGCCAACAAGTTCAATTTTAGTTCTCTATTAAAAAATATAAGTCCCACTACTAACAGATGCATGCGTGCGCATGCACACACACACACACACACACACACACACACACACAGACACACACACAAAGAATATTTATTGCAGCACTATCAAGTGGCTAAGAATTGTGAACAATCTAAAGTTTGTTGCGAGGGAAATGGTTTAGTAAAAAAATTAATTCATGCCATGGAATATTATGTAGCTATTTAAAAAGCAATTGGGTGATACGATTCCATTAGGGAAAACAAAACAGAAGGTTAAAGAGCTGTTTATATGCAAGTGTGTATATGTTTTTATGAGCATAAAGAAAGGGGTTTGAAGTTACCTATGTACACAGTTAATATTGGTTACTTTGAAAAGTAGGGTGTGAGGGAGGGGTGGAAGAGCTTTTTCTTTATAAATTTCTGTTTGGTTTTACTTATTAAGACAAGCCTAAATTTTATAATCTAAATTTTTTTAAAAAAGAAAGTGGAAAGGGAAGTGGCCAAAGAGACAGGAGAAGACCAGCAAGAAAACAGCATTTCGAGAGGCAAGTAGTCACCCATGTCAAATAATGTTTAGATATCAAGTAAGAAAAAGACAGAAAAGCATTTGGTGTTTTTAGTGGGTACCCTTGGTGGAAACAGTCTTCATGAACTCCTGGAGTCAGTAGTAGGCTATTGTCGTGGGCCAAGGGATAAGTGGAAGGGAAGGGAATAGAGAGAGTATGTAGATAATTCTTCCAATTAGTCTGTGAAGGGGAGAAGGGAGAGGAGAGAGAATCCAGGGAGCTCTGCAGAGTTCAGCAAAATTCTTTTCTTTCTTTTAAAAATGTTTCTTTTTTAAGATTGGAGAGACTTGTAGTCGTTGTCCCTGTGTATACATGTCACATTTGTGCATTTTACAGGCACAAGAGAATGCAGAGCAAGGAGACTAAAGGTTTTGGAGTTGAGCAGGATGAGTGATGGCCAGCTTCCCAGGATGAAGGAAAAGAAAGGGTGGAGTGAGTTTTAGACAGACGAAAGACGTTGTGTTTGAGGTTCAAGATACAATGTCAAGCTCATGAGTAATGAGTCTTAAAGTCTAGGTGTGACCCCTCCCTCTCTTGTTGCTGGTGTGGCCACTGTACCCTCCTGAGGATCTATAACCTGATTCAGAAATACAGGTCTGTTTTGGCCAGGCGTGGTGGTTCATGCCTGTAATCCCAGCACTTTGGGAGGCCACAGCAGGGAAATCATGAGGTCAAGAGATCAAGACCATCCTGGCCAACATGGTAAAACCCCATCTCTACTAAAAATACAAAAATTAGCTGGGTGTGGTGGTGTGCGCCTATAGTTCCAGCTTCTATGGAGTCTGAGGCAGGAGAATTGCTTGAACCCGGGGGGACAGAGGTTGCAGTAAGCTGAGATCGCACCACTGCACTCCAGCCTGGCAACAGAGCAAGACTCCATCTCAATAAATAAATGTGAAATATTTATATAGGTTCGTTCTTACCAGTCTCTGTGAGTGAAAGATGTTAAGTGTTTAACAAGCATTAAGTGATTAGTAATTAAGTGTTTAACATTTTTATATTTGACTTGGAGTCACTACCAACCAAAAATAAATTATTAAGGGTTATTAAAATTTGGTATTCACACATTTAAATCAATGTGTGCTACTAGATTTATTTTAATTCAGTATTTTATTCAGAAGTCTGGCAGACACTTGGTGCTTGGCAATAATCATAAAGCACATGCACATAGTTGTAAATTCCACAATTTTGATTCAGGACACTTCGTCAGTGTATCATCAGTGTTGGCTTGAGTTGGTTATAATATTCAGTTGCTGCTATTCTTGCTTTTTAATTATAAATTACAGTAAGTTTAGTTTTATCATTATCAATTTAGTTTATTGTGTGTTATTTGGTTAACCTCACAATGTTTGTTGGTACATACTTGGATTAATAATGTTTTGTCTTATTGTGTTCTTATAACTAGGCTTTTAAGATATGTATGTCTCGTGGTTCATAAGAGGATCATCCGGTATTATTTTGCCAAAGTAGATGTGTACCTAACCCCCTTGTCATTTGCTTGTATGGTGACACACTTCATGGTGACATGTTTCCTGGGAAATTTTGCTATTTAAATAACTTGCAACACACTGTAAAAGTAGGTGTAAGAAAATTACTGGATATTTTACTGTTTTTTGATGTTTTAGGATGTAAATTATGTTTATAGTAATATGTTTACTGCAACTTAATTATATTTTTGCCGAGTTCTTTGTTACCACCAGGTTCACTACCTTCCTCCCACCCCCTGAATGTGGGAACAAGTGAGATAGGTGGAAGTCTTTTGCTTTGCTGTGGTGGATGTTGCTCAGAAAGTTTAAAAGCCACCCCTCTAGAGGCCTGTGTAGGTGTGTGGAAAGGATGTGCTAAGCAGCTAAGCAAAAGTGGAATAAGGGTAACTCACAGTCATGGCTTCAATGCCCGTGGACTGTGAGCTTGTTACTGATAAGATGTTAGGAGAGCAGCTGCTGATGTTGTGTTTTCACTTCTTGTTTAAGGATGTAAATGAAGACCCTGGAGAAGATGTGGCCCTCCTCTCTGTTAGTTTTGAGGACACTGAAGCCACCCAGGTGTACCCCAAGCTGTACTTGTCACCTCGAATTGAACAGTAAGTGTCATTAACATTAGGTAGCCTGGTGCTACTTCTTGCTAACCAATATGTGTCATTCTTCCTTTTGCCACTCTTAAACTCTTAAATTTATTTCTTTTCATTGACTTTTGTTTCCTTAAAAGATTCATCATATTAAGAATTTGGATTGCCGAGTAAATGCAGTTAGTACTTGCCACTCCACCCTTTTGGTGAGTGTTACTATGCAGTTAGTGACATGAATACTGCTGCACCTTTGTAGAGAGAGAATAATGAGAGGCTGAGTCCAAAATTGGGACTCCCTCCAGATGTTCCCTTGAGTATGAGTGGTTGTAGCCTATGGTGGGCTGCTAAACATCTGGCCCGGTTTCTCACATATTTGTAACTATTAGTGGTATTTGTAAAACATAACTAGTCTCTTTAAAATATTTAGCAAAAACTTACTCAGAAGTTAGTAAAGCTAGTGTTAAAAGTAGGTAGTTTAAAATGAAACTTGTTTTATTTTGCTGCGTTAAAACAGCTGTATATAATTGTACTCAACATTCAGGCTACATAGCAGAAGTAGTTTGATATCGCATTGTGTTCTAATGAAGTAACTTTATTCATCAGTAATGAATTTTATAAGGCCTGGATTCACAGAGTGCTTATTGTGGGCTAAATGCTTTAGTAGCTTATTCTACTTCAAAGGAAGCTGAGGTTCATTGAAAATGGATTATAAGCAGATTTGGTTGGGAACTTCTGACAGGACAGATTTTTCATCAGCAGAGAGAGTTTTTACAGACTCTGATTGAAATGTATTATTAAACTTCTCTGTGATTTATTTAGTCACAGTTGGCTGATTTCTGTCTGTGAGTAGCTGTGGTCACTATCTAGCATTCTTAGTAAAAATACTGAGCCATTTTTACCCCTTCCGACCTTGGTTGCTCTAATTTATGAATCATGGACACATGATCTTAAAAACTGATATCATACAGCTGTTTATACTCGAATACGGGAGCTTATGAACATCAATAATCTATAGGCATTCTCTTGTTTATTTATGTATCTGACACAGCACCTAGAACAGGATTTTACAGTAGCAGGCACTCAATGATTATTTAATTTTTGTCTTGAGACAGGGTCTCACTCTGTCACCTAGGCTGGAGTGTAACAGCCTGCTTATGGCTCACTGCAGCCTCAACCTCCTGAGCTCAAGTGATATTCTACCTCACCCTTCCAAGTTTCTAAGACTCCAGGTGCCACCATGCATGGCTAATTTTTTAATTTTTATTTTTGTAGAGACAAGGTCTCACTATGCTGCTCAGGCTGGTCTCGAACTCCTGGGCTCAAGTGATTCTCCTGCCTCAGCCTCCCAAAGAATGTTTTATCTTTCTTTTTTTTTGGGATGGAGTCTCACTCTGTCACCCAGACTGTAGTGCAGTGGTGCGATCTTGGCTCACTGCAACCTCCACCTTCTGAGTTCAAGTGATTCTTGGGTTTTAGCCTCCCAAGTAGGCACAAGCCACCACACTCAGCTAATTTCTTTTATTTTTAGTAGACACAGAGTTTCGCCATGTTGGCCCTGCTGGTCTCAAAATCCTGACCTCAGGTAATCCACTCACCTCAGCCTCCCAAAGTACTGGGATTACAGGCATGAGCCACTGTGCCTGGCCCAAAGAATGTTTTATTTTTTTAATTGAAAATGCTGACCCCTATTAGTAAGTGATCAATGAGTACCAGAGGCAGTAGAATGACGTGGCATAAGGCAAGGGCGTTGAGTCAAGCAAATCTGGTTTAATCCTGGTTCCTGCCACTCAGCTGGCACAAAATATAACTTCTCTGAGCTTGTTTCCTCAGTCATAAAATAGACATAATAATACCTATTTTATAGTGTTGTTTTCAGGATTATATTAATACTGTTCATAAGGCATTAATCATAGTGCCTGGCACTATAGCAAACACTCAGCAAGTAGTAGCCATGAATGATATTATTATTGATACAGTTCATAGGAGAAGAACGAGTGAGTGCTTAGCAGGGATGAGTTGGGGCAGAAAAGAAGAGGATGGGTAAATAAGGGAGCAAGTACTAATTCTAGCATAGCCACTCACTGTGTAACTAATGAGTTAAATTACAAGGGTGCTTTGGTGATGAGAAAAGAGTTAATGTAACAATTGCAAGATGTGGGTAATATGAATATGTTAGTTAAGCTGCAGGCAATAACTTGCCAGCTCAGAAAAGCATTTGTTCCAGCAGCTAGGTTGTTTTTCCTGGAAGTTACTACACCTAATTTGCAGATAAACTTGCTAATAAAATATTCTCACTCTAAAAATCTAAGATGTGTGGGAAATGATTGGGGAAGGGTATATTTTAAAAATAATTTTTCCTATCTCTGAAGTCCAGCTTTCTCATGTTTTTCCTCCCTCTTTATGTTAAGAACTCTCTACAGTATATTGTTATAGATCATTTTTCTGTTGCTTCCCCTCATACACTGTTTCTTCAGCCAGACCGAAGCACTTGAAGTTTTTTTACATTGCCAGCACTCTCTTGCCTCTGTGCCTTTGCTAAAGCTGTTCCTTCCATGTACAGGGCCCTTCTCTAACCCCCTCTTCCTGTTGAAATACTATACTTTTTCTAAGGCCTTATTCAAATGCCTCTCTACCAACCGTTTCCCTGAGGACAATTAGTCTAGCCTTCCCTGGAGCTCTTTGTAACACTGAATTTATATTAATCTTATAATCTATATTTATATTATAATTTACCCGTCATAGCATTAATTGTTGATATGGATTTTTTAAAATATTTTGCTGAATCGCAAGCTACTTATTGAGGTGAGGAACAAGTCTTTCCTTTAATGCCTTGCACAAATGCAATGCACAGTTATCGATTGCCTAATTGGCAGTCTTCTAGGTTAATAAGTAGTTCTCACCAAAATATTGGTAAATGCCTCACTGATAGTCTTATACTTTTCCTGGTTGAGACAAATTCACTTGGTAGAACTATGTTTATAATACCAAAACAAAATACCAAACCTTCTTATATCTTTAAGTAGAAGTTTTCAAAATGAGATTTTAGAGAAAGATGAACATGATAGAAGTAAACTTAGGGTATGATTTCTGTAAGGGCTTAGATATTTGCTAAAGTTATTAATAGTTTTGGTTAATTCTTCCAGGGTTCATAGCTTAGAACAGACATAATGCCATTTCAGGAAGGCCATAGTCATGGGATAGGTTTTGAGAACGGACTGTGCTAAACTCTCATTTGTTTTTTGTGTTTTATACTATCTTGTCAACTCTTAGCTATCCAAGCATTGATTATAGACTCAGACTTGGAGAGTTCTTTCAGGAGTCATGGGAAAAGCATCCCATGTGGACCTGCCCAAAGCTGATGTCAGATTCTTGCCCTAGCTGAGGCTTGTACTCTTTTTGGCTTCTGCTATGGCTCTTTCTAGGAAGTCCCAAGCCCCATGCAGTACATTTGACAGGGAGAGGCTCAGGGGAGACCAACAGCCCCATCCACACTGGGTAAAAATTATCAAGAGAAGGCTTGCATTCCCACCATCTCCACCTTGGGCATAGAAAGATATCATGGGCCTGGGAGGAACCCCATTCCAGTCTATCTCTCTGTTCCAGCTCGTCAGTGCAGTAGGCAAAGATATTATACTCACATTAACTAGTCCCAGCAATAGGAAAAGAAAAAGGCTACTTTTGGGTCTTGTTATCTGATGTAGGAGAAGATATCAATTTGTTGTACCCTAAAAAGACTCCAAATTAGACATTCCTGACAATAGGGAACATCTGTCAGATTCATTGTATTCTAATGTATTCCCAATTGTATTCTAATTTGATGAAGCTCTGAAATGTGATTGTACTCTGAAGTCTGTTTGCCCAGGGTCCTGGAATAGTTGTCTGGTGTCTCTGGCAGCCCTGCCGCACATGGCTGCCTGCCCTTGCGCTGCTTAGATGCATATTCTTCCCAGTCCCCTGCTGTGCATTTTCTATGGCTTGCAGAGTAAGTGCTTCTGAGAAGAACTTTGTGTTCTTGCACAAGGGACATTTATGAAATAAACATATTTCTGGCCCTATACATTTGTTTTCCAAGGGAGCAAAACCAATCAGTTGAATTAGACACTAAGTTCTGTTCATTAACAAACAAACAAAAAAAAAAGATCTGGTGAGTTATGCAGAAAAAAAAATGCTAGTAGTCAGTGATGCAAATTAGATTTTGGTTGAATATTAGAAAAGGGGAAAAAATAGTTTCTAAACTAGTTGCTTTTTTTTTCCTGGCAGAAAAGCTGTGAGCTTTAAGGTTACATCATCAGAGCTGGCGTGAAACATGCTCTACCTTTCCCTCTTCCCCAGACTGTTGGCAGTTGTAGTAGTGAAACCAAAGGTTATATGGGCATAGGAGTCTACATAGCACTCTTTTCCGAAAGGTGTGGGCCCTTTTCTTGGCTTGAGCCACTTTGTGGGAGTGGTTTGAAGACAACCAGCTTCCTCATTCCCTGTGCTGTTCCCACTTGGTGCATAAAAAGAGGACTTTAGCCCCAAGGCAGACCAGGTGGCATTTTTCACAAGTACAGAATTTGTTTTTAGAACTTTTTGTTAAGTTACATCTGCCTTGGAAATGAGTACTCAAAACTTACCAGCCCACAAACGCTCACTGTGAGTGAGGACTGTGTACCTGCAATATGCATGTTTTTTCTCTCAGGCAACAGAAACCCAGTGAGAACTGACCACGTGTGAGGCTATTAGCTGGGTACTCCAGAGGCTGTCAGCATAAATGAAATGTGGCTCATTCCCTTAATTTCCTTATAGTAAGGGGGATAAGAACAAATAATGGCAAGTTGCAACTCGTGGTCTAATAGAAAAGGCATTTTACTACATTGCATCAGAAGTCACCTGTTCCTTCACTTACTGGCTGGCAATCTTGGCGTCAGTTAACCTTTTTGAGCTTCATTTCATCTTCTGTGAAGAGGAATAAATCTGTTTCAGTTTCCTGTACTCCAAGTGGCGAGGTAGACGAGAAAGGCCCTACTGTAGTG